ACTGCCCTCCGCGCCAAACGACTGGCGATTTTCTCACGTCCGCTGTCAAACCCTACTGAACGTAGAGCCAGGAAAGGGTTCGAGTCCAAGGTTCCCCGGACCCCGCGGGAGTTTGAAGAGTATTGGCGTCAATCTCAAGCGTTCAAAGACATGCAGGCTGAGATCGAAGAAAGCGAGAACACATACCCAATAGGAAGCTCAGCCTTGACAGAATTGCGTGAAGCACGCCAGCAGGCTCAAGCAAAGCACGTTCGTCCAAAGTCTCCGTATACCATTTCGATAGCGATGCAAGTTAAAGTATGTACTATTCGTGCCTACCAGCGCTTGTGGAACGACAAGGCATCAACGATATCTAGAGTGGCCGCGCAGTTAATAATGTCTTTGATTATCGGATCCCTCTTCTTTGATACACCGCAAGTCACCAGCAGTTTCTTCTCAAAAGGCTCAGTCCTCTTTTTCGCTATTTTGCTTAATGCCTTGCTTTCTGTATCTGAAATTAACACGTAAGTTTCTCTGCTACTACTATTTACGCAATTACTCTCTCTGACGAAATTCTAGGCTTTGTAAGTTTACCACCGTTCCCACGAAACCTAAAATAGCTACTAAAATCACAACAAGATGCCCAACGACCTATCGTCTCCAAGCATGTTTCCTTCGCTTTCTATTATGCATGGGTTGAAGCCCTTGCAGGGATTGTCTCTGATGTCCCTATAAAATTCGTCATAAGCACAGTCTTTAATGTAATCATCTACTTCCTCGGTGACCTGAGGAGAGAACCTGGAAATTTTTTCATTTTCTTCCTCTTCACGTTTGTCACTACGTTAACTATGTCCGCGATATTCCGAACTCTAGCCGCTGCAACGAAAACTATATCTCAAGCACTCGCATTCGCGGGAGTCATGGTCTTAGCAATTGTCGTATATACCGGTTTCACTATCCAGCGATCTTATATGTAAGTACAATTTTGGTATATGGTGATCGATATCAGTCTCATTTCGGCGGAGTGGCTGTGTCACAAAAAGCTAACTGTGAATGCAGGCACCCATGGTTCAAATGGATCAGCTGGATCAACCCAGTAGCATATGCATTTGAAGCTATCCTAGTCAATGAAGTGCATAATCAGCGGTACCCATGTGCTGATATTGTTCCTCCTTACGGCCAAGGAAATAATTTTCAATGTCCAGTTGCTGGTGCTGTAGCCGGTGAGACGTCTGTCTCTGGCGACGCGTGGGTTGAGTCACAATATGGCTACAAGTATACACACCTCTGGAGAAATCTTGGATTTATCTTCGCCTTTCAGGTCTTCTTTTACGTCCTTTACCTCTTTGCGACACAAATGAACACAGACTTGGGCTCCTCCGCGGAATTTTTAGTGTTCCGACGTGGGAATGTTCCCAAGTACATGTTAGAGGAGAAGGATGAGGAAAATGGCGAAATAGCGCGCCCCGGCGATGTCGATGTTGCTGCTCCTCAGGATACGGCCAACGGAGAAGATAAAACCGACATTCTCCCTCCCCAGACTGAAATTTTTACGTGGCGAAATGTGGTATATGACATCACAATTAAAGGAGAGCCGAGGAGGCTACTTGATCACGTCTCTGGATGGGTCCGCCCTGGCACTCTGACTGCATTGATGGGTGTATCCGGTGCAGGTAAAACAACACTGCTTGACGCTCTTGCCCAGCGAATTTCTGTAGGGGTTATTACCGGGGATATGTTCGTCAATGGAAAACCACTTGACCCTTCGTTCCAGCGTAAAACAGGCTACTGTCAACAACAGGACCTTCACCTTGAGACCACCACAGTTCGTGAGGCACTTCGCTTCTCTGCAATGTTGAGACAGCCAATGACTGTCTCAAAGGCAGAAAAGTACGCTTTTGTTGAGGGCGTTATCAAGATGTTGAATATGGAAGATTTTGCCGAAGCTGTTGTCGGGAGCCCTGGCGAGGGTCTCAATGTAGAGCAACGCAAGCTCCTCACCATTGGCGTGGAATTAGCTGCGAAACCACAACTTCTGCTTTTTCTTGACGAGCCTACTTCTGGTCTCGATTCGCAGAGCTCATGGGCCATAGTTACTTTTCTCCGGAAACTCGCCAATAATGGCCAGGCCGTGCTTTCCACCATCCACCAGCCGTCTGCAATATTATTCCAAGAGTTTGATCGACTGCTATTCTTGGCAAAGGGCGGGAGGACAGTCTATTTTGGAGATATTGGAGAAAATTGCGAGACCCTGCTCAAGTACTTTTCAGATCATGGTGCTGAACCCTGTGGCCCCGATGAAAACCCAGCGGAATACATGTTGAATGTTGTTGGAGCGGGACCTAGCGGCAAATCAACACAGGATTGGCCAGAAGTATGGAATGCTAGTCCGCAGCCGCGGAAGTTCTGAGAGTTGGATCGCATAC